GGATCGGACCAGGGGATGGGCGAAATCCTTCGTAAGATGGGGGTCGCAGACGGGGAGGGCATCACCTTCAAACACTTCTGGAACCTGATCCAGACCGTGGCCACCCAGCAGCACGGGGTCCTGAGCAGCCAGATGGGCTCCTCCTGCAGCTGCATCCTCCTCTGAGGCGCCCCCTGCTGGACGCCCGTCTCCATGGTTACTGGTCCTAACCACGGCCCGTTTCACACCTTCGACCCGAATATCGCGGGTCCGTCTTTCTCCGTCTTTTGAACTCTTTCACATTCAGGCAGGTTTACGATTAGATTTGCACGTTGTCTGTTTTGAAAAGCTTAAAAGTGCAATTTCACGCTGTTCAAATTAAGAAAAAACGACCCGTCTCAACACTAGAAATAACGATAAACACAAACTATGAATGTTTGAACAGGTTTTGTACTAAAGTGACTGGAAAGATATGCAAATTAAGTGCCTTAAAAGACTGATAATTACAGTTTTCCATGTTCCCTCCATATATTTGCTTATTTTCAACAGGACTCGGCGGGGGGGGGGTCATGTTTACTTTATACTTTTTTGGAAGATGAATAGTTACTGTTTTTATATTGAGATAAACAGAATGTTTAGTGGAAGTAACACTTAGCCCCACATCCTGCCGTTTCTGTCTATTTATATTTTACTTTTGCTTTTCTTACCAGTATGAAACCACAGAGAGAGAGAAAGAGAGAGAGAGAAGTAAATTGATGAATAAAATAAATCCAACAGTTTTTTGTACCATCATTTGTCAGTTTAATTGGAAAAAAACTCCCACAATGTTTAGACAGGACTGTATGAAAATGTGTATGACTTCTATAATGGTCTGAGTCGTATGTACTTTTTATATTGAGAATACCTAATGGAGATTAAACTTTTTCTTCTTTAACACTTTAAGCCGCTGCCTTCTCTTTTTTTACCTGCAAAACATTGAGTTTGGTTTCATTTTTCTGGGTGTTCAGATGAGTTTCAGCCTTTCTACTTTACACATCAGAAATACTTTAATAATCAAAGAGGCAAATTATTATTATCGTTATCATCATTATTATTAGAAATGATTTTCTATCATCCTACACATGTAGGATTATGGAGCCTGTCTATTTA